AAATAAATAAATAAATAATTAAAAAAATAAATAAAAAGAAATGTCATTTCAATATAATTATTGCCCTATTTATATACTTTATTTTAGAAATGTATGTTTACGCAGATTTATCATTTTCCTATTGGGTTTTGTATTTATCTATTGTTTTGAGTTTAACGTATCCTTCTGTATTATGAATATATATCCTCTGAAAGATACAGAATGTATCTGTTAATTATGTAATTCCATTACATAAAAATACCACATCTTTTTTATCCATTCCTCAGGTGATGGATATTTTGGATTTTTCCCCAAGATTTGGCTATGAAAAATTGTGCTGCTAGAAACATGGTTTCACATATATCACTGTGGTATGATGATTTCAGTCCTTTTAGAAAAATACCTAGAAGATCAATAGCTAGGCTGGATGGGATTTACAATCCTAGTTTTTTGAGGAGTTTCCACACTGATTTTCATAGTGGTTGCACCAGACTACATTCTTCTTGCTAGCATTTCTCTCATTCTGTAGTTTATCTCTTTGCTCTGATGTTTGCATTGATCTGCAGGTGGTTTTAACTTTATGCAATTCTATTTATCAGTTTTTTATTCTGTTTTGGTCTTATCCAAAGTACCCATGCTCAATCCAGTCTGAAATTGTTCCTATATTTTCTTCTAACAGTTTCATGTCTGGCATTTAAGGAAAATGTGCAATTAATTGAGAAAATTTACTGGGTACATAACAAGTGCTCACAAATCACTCCAACCCCAAATAGAATTCAAGAACTAAGCCAATTTATCATGACTTCTAAACACTTTAAATATTCATATGTGGCAGAATATCAATGAATAATCTTAATGGGCTCTGCCAATTTTACTTGTGAATACAGCTGAAGGATGTTTATGTTGCTTGGAATTTAAATTACCCTCCCTTTGTATTATGGATATCTTTAAAGAAAAATATAGTTCTATGCATATGTGTCTGTTCAGAAAGGTTTGCACAATTGATTGTTTTCTATTAGAAACAAATGTACAGATCTCTGTGGTTCATCTCTCTCTAGAGACGTGCAGCCTTCTCCAGTATGATGATTGGAAATTGCCAAGAAAGAGATCTCCAGAGATCCCACTGAATGAATAAGCTAAAGAGCATCACCCTGAAAGTGCTTTCCACTGAGAAATAACAGGAGAGCCCGTGTACTAGTGAGTTACTCACACACAGTTTGTCAACTGATTGCTTTGGAATTGTGTTCATGGTTGAAAATTTCATCAAGATACAATCACTGTCTACAGCTGGATTGTCATTCTCCTTGGAAGGTAGGACGCTTGTTTATTTTTTTTTTTTGAATAAAGAGAATTTCATTTCAAAATTTGAAAGAAGGGAGAGCTCCTTCCCTACCAGTCATGATTAACTGGTTTATTTGTGAGAATCGTGCTTTTTTTTTGCATTAACTAATGTTTTCCATAGTCTTACCTATGGAAATTTGGTGACTTGCTTTCCTTAAGTAGACAAATACCCTTGTCCTCATTATGAAAAACAGACATAATGAAAAGAATTTTCACTACTGAGTAACATAGAAAAATTATAACTATATATGAGCAAATAAACACATAACAGAAAAATGATGGGCCTCTAAGTAAAGTGAACTGAATGACTCAGCCACTATCTTTCCTCCACTAGACACACAGTCCTTCGATAGCATGGTTCTCTTTACTCAGTCATTGGGCTCAGGGGGTAAAACAACTAAGGTAAATGTCAAATCCATGACATAAAGGACTTGAGTATGTTTGACCACTAAAATACATGGTGAGATGGACTATTAGTAAACAGTACAATCAGCAATGTCAGTCTTCTTCTTTTATATGATTTTGGAAAATAGAGAAATATACTTAAAACATTCCAGTTCATCTTGGCAAAACTTCAACATGCAATTGACTATCACCATGGATTTGAAGGAAAATAAAGCACATATTTTTCAGCTGGAATATTTAGAAATATTTATTTTCTAATAATGATACTTGAGTGATAATCAGAATTTTTCCCTGTACAATTTTTATGGAAGCATTCTTGAAACTGAAATCCCATAACCTCTATAGTTAATCTGTTGCAGTCTTTTTGCATGCCATAAATTTGGTCCATCAGAAGTACATATTTGTATAGCACTTCCTAATCTGACAAATTAATGCTTGAACTGTGATCACACATTTCTAAATTTTATTTTGTAACAAGTAAGAGGATTGAATTAGAAGACAGAATTCATGTACTTTTTCTTCCCCCAGAAAACTGAGGCCAGATGGAGCAATTTCTCTTGATGGGAGAAAAATCAGGTAGTCTTATAATGAAATAATCTTAAAGCTGTTAGACTTGACAGTATCACAATTGAAACTAGATTTCATACTGAAAACTATGAATTGGAGTCCTCTAGAGAGTAATATTCATGGATGGCAAACCAATGACTCAAATAATGAATCATAGATGTTTTCTTTAACTCAATTACTCAATCTATATTCAGTTGTTGATTTTTACATAGGAAAATAATGGATATTAATGATATTTACACATAACTATTCCTTCTTAATATTTGCATTAATCTTTGCTTGTCTCCAAATCTATATATCTTTATTCTCAAGTTTTCTTATGCTTTGATTTTTTAACTTTTGTATCTATTGCCTAACTACCATCTATTTATGTATATAGTAATCATTTTAGTTTCAATTTGTATTTTTCACCTCTTTTAGAATATGTGGCATTTTTATGACTCTAATTTCCATTCTGTGCTTTAAATGAGGTTTGATAGACTACATAATGAAAGCTTAAATTCAAGAAAGGAATTAAAATAAATGAAAATAAAAAAGGTGTTACAATAAAGTCACATTGTTGTTAGTCTTCTCTTGTGATTGTCTTTACAGAACAGGATCAGAAACATAGTGAAGGCTGTTGTCTGTTTCCATCAAATGGAAAAACAGTATTATAAACACATTATGGTGTGCCCTCATCCAACTTTTTCATCAACATGGGGGGGGGCACTGCTGACTCCTCTGAAAAGTCAAGCTGACCATAAAGTGTAGACATTTTAAATTGATTCAGGATATCCCGGAAGCCATGACAGCACAAAAAAAAGACAGTAAGAAAAGAAGAATTCCAGAACAGATTCAGAAAGTGGCAGGAATTATGGGATGTGTGTTTGAAGGGGATTAATGCTAATGTAGCCTTGATTGTAATAAGTTTTTTTTGAAATGCAAGCATCTGCTATATTTTTGAAATAGACAGTACTTGGGTTTTAGTGAGATGCATTTGTTACTTATTTCCACAACCTGGATAGTACCTCATGTTCTTCCCAAAAAATATAACAGGACACATCAGGGAAGGCAGTTCATGAGTGAGAAACAATGAACAGGATCAATGCTAGCAGCCCAGCAGCCTTTGTCTTACTGGGCTTTTCTGACCAGCCTCAGCTGGAGCTCGTGCTGCTTCTGGTCATCTCCAGCATCTATATTCTAACACTGCTTGGTAACACAACCATCATCCTGCTTTCCTATCTCAGCCCCAAACTCCACACACCCATGTACTTCTTCCTCTCCAATCTCTCCTTCCTGGACCTGTGCTTCACTACCAGCATTGTCCCACAGATGCTTTGGAACCTCAAGGGCCCTGAGAAGACCATCAGCTACACTGGCTGTGTGATCCAGCTGTATGTGAGTTCAGGGCTGGGCTCTACCGAGTGTGTGCTGCTGAGTGTGATGGCCTATGACCGCTTCAATGCCATCTGCCGCCCCCTCCACTATGGCGTTATCATGCACCCAAAGCTTCTCCAGCATCTAGCGGCCCTGGCCTGGATCAGCGGTTTTGTGGAGTCCACCGTGCAGACCAGCCTTGTTTTCCACTTGCATTTCTGCAGCCATCACAGGGTGGACGATTTCATGTGTGAAGTGCCTGCCCTGATTCAAATTGCCTGTGAGGACACAACCTTCCTGAAAAATGAACTCTCTGTAGCAACTGTATTGTATGTGGTGACACCTCTGGGGCTCATTCTGGTCTCCTACTGCTTCATTGTTAGGAGTGTGCTGAAGATAAAGGCCAGAGAAGGCAGGAGGAAGGCATTTGGGACATGTGGGTCCCACCTGATTGTTGTTGTCTTGTTCTTTGGGACTCTAATATGTGTCTATATTCAGCCCAAGAGCAAGTACACACAGAATGGTGAAAGATTTCTCACCCTTTTCTATACTATAGTGACACCTTCCCTTAATCCTTTGATCTACACGTTGAGAAACAAAGAAGCTAAATGGGCAATTAAAAGGTTACTGGCAGGAGAACATACTTAAACAGAATGGTGAAAAATCTTCCAGGGACTTGTAGGAATTATCTACTTATGTTTTTCATTTTATTTATGAATAATGTGGTTAAATATAAACAGATATCGGTGACATAAATAAGTGAAATATAATAATATGAGGGAGCATTTGGCAGCTCATTTTCTATAGTGACATTAAAGCATTGACTTTCAATTTATAACCTTCTTTCTGAGAATGTTGCTTTCTTTCCTGAGCCCATTCGTAAAGATTCCAAGAATAAACATATAAGTGCAGGTATATGGAGTGTGTGCGTGTGTGTGTGTTGTACAATCACAAATCTTATACCCGTTGTTCTAGTGACTGCTATGGTGTCACTGACATAGTCACCACCAATCCCTTTCTCATCATGGAAGTAAATCTCATTTCTCATACGAAAGACGCAGAAATTCTAATTCACAGCAGCGCACATCGTGTTTGTAGGCCTTGTGTTTGGCAGTGCCAGAGCCAGTGCTGTCCTCTGTTCGCAGGTTTCCTGACTGTGTGAAGGCCTACTGCAGGGCTGCGGACCCTAGAGCTTAGTATTGTCCAGGGATATCACCTTCTGAACCTTCATTTAGATGAAATTAGATGTCAGAAGCATCAGGAATTAAGTGCACCCAGAGTTTTCTGATCTGTCCACATAGACTTCTCTCAGCTCAAGTTTTTAAGCATTCTACACTTCTGTGAAATTGTGAAATATTTATTGTTCTGTGTATGTTATATTTTATGTATTTCACTTAGCATGACATCTCTATTTGGAGTGTTGATGTCGGTCATTTATTGATGGAACTATCTCCTTCTCTTCTTGACTCTCATTTAGATGAAGGGAGATGCCAATGTATGGATCTATTTCTGGTCTCTTCATTCTGTCCCATTGCTCTGTGAGTCCAGCTTACTGCCAGTGCCACAAGGTTTTGATGAGTATGACTATGTACTCTATTTTCAAATCACAAAGCAGGATACTTCCAACTATGTTATTTTTGCTCATGGTTGTTTAAGTTATAAGTGTTTTTCTTGGTTTCATTGAAATTATAACACTTTTCTGGTCTGTTAAAGTTTGATGTTGGTGTCATGATAGGAATTGCCTAGAATTTTTACATTTCTTTGAGTAGTATAATTATTTCAACTGTGTCTATATTCATGGGATACCTTCCTATTTATTGCTGCCATCTTCTATTTAATTGTGTTCAATTTAAACTGCAGTGCTTTATAGTTTTTATGATCTCATCTTGATTAACATATTCCTAAATATTTTACATTGTTTTACATATTGTAGATGAAATATTTTTAAAACATTCTTTTAGACACCGCTATCACATAAGAATACCACTGGTTTTGGTGTATTGATACTTTTGTCCTGTGACTTTTTCAAATCTGGCTGTCAGTGCTAATAATTTTTGGCAGAAACTTTGGTATTTTATGTGCATAAGCATGCCATCTGGCAACAGGGATAATTATTTATTTATTTTCTTTTAGTTTTGCATCTTTGAAGCTCATTATTGCTTTCTTTTGCCTAAATGCTCTGAACAGGGTTTCTAGAATGTAATCCTGTTTTCTAATGCTATATATAACCACATAATTGAGGGTGGCATTTTGGCAAGTAAAGAGTTTTGCTGGCTGAAGGATCTAAACAGACTGTAGTTCATTCCCCCTGGGAGGCATCCCAATAAGGCGGACAACTCATAACCTCAGGGGTGATTCAAAGGGAAGGCGACCCAGGTGGATGAGTCATGGCCATTGCTTGGCCAATGTGCTCTCTGTGAAAGTCTGAGAGAATGTTTTCTCTCCATGTGACTCTCCTTAGGCATACTCTACATCATCGATCACTTTCCCCATTGACCCCATAATCTTGATCAGAAAATTTGGGACACTACCGAGTTACATGATGTAACAGTACAAGTTTTCATGTGTCCTGAGTCTTAATTGACCTTGGAAGGCTAGGGCCAAAATGTTGGCTTCCTTGTGGCCCTCCTTTTTCTCTAATTTTGGTCTGCAAACTTGAGTTGTTAACCATCAAGAAGAAAAGTTTATTGTTATTACCATATAACTTAGGCTGTTAAGCATAACCTCACTATCTGTCTGAATATCAAACATCTTAGGAATAACATGGAACAGGTATTTTTCATCAAGTATTGATATGTTGAACTTTAAGTCCACACAGAATATGATAAAAAAACTTTAAAATTAGAATATATCTTAAAAATAGGCATAAAGAATTATATACTTCTTATGTTTATACATAAGTCTAAAAAACTAACACCTTGAAGCACGACAGTCCTACAATATTCCTTTTCCTGTCTCTTGCTTTCATTCACCACCCCCTTCTTCTTGAACAACCATCTACCCAAGAGACAGCATAGCAGCAACTGGCATGTCATGACAAGCAACCCATATTCAGAAGACCAGAATGGCAGGCACTGCAAACATGAAAGTACTATTACAGATTGCCATCTGCAGAGCAGTTGCTTAGTTCACAGGTATCAGTATATATGGTTAGTCAGGGTGAGAATATTTCCCAATAACTGCTAGATTAAAAAATCTTCTGGAGATTCTCAGGATCATTGCCTTGCCCATCTTCTACACATACCTGTATGGCTTGACATTGCCATGTTTCCTAGCTCTTCTCCTTTCCCTCTCTTGATTAGTTAGTCCTCGAGATCTTGCTTTCCTTTTACTTGTATTATACCTTTCTATTTGTACTTCTTCTTTGGAGTTCTTATACTAGGGAAATTATATGATATTTACACATGTGTGTCTGGTTAATTTCACTTATGAGTATATGTTCAAGTGGCATCCACTTCAATATAAAGGGTTCAAGTTTATCATTCTTAATAGCTGAAGAATACTCCATTTTGTAAAAATAACAAATCTTTTTCAACCATTCCTCAGGTGATGGGCATCTTGGTTGTTTCCAAGATTTGGCCATCCCAAATTGTGCTGCTATAAACATAGGAACACATATATCGCTAGGATATGATGTTTTCAGATCCTCCAGGAAAATTCCTAGTAGAGGAATAGCTGGTTTAAATGGGATTTCCAGACCAACTTTTCTAAGGAGTCTCCATACTAATTTCCATAATGGTTGCTCCAGTCTACACTCCCACCAGCAGTGGAGAAGGGTTCCTTTTTCCCCACAGCCTCTCCAACATTTGTTGTTGGGTGATTTCTTTATGATAAGCATTCTTTCTGGGGTGAGATGATATCTCAAAGTGGTTTTAATTTGCATTTCATGGATGGTTAGTGATGTGGAGTATTTTTTCATGTATTTATTCGCTTCTTTAATTACATCTTCTGAGAAGCGTGTGTTCATCTCGGATGCCCATTTCTGGATTGGGTCTTTAAATTTTGGGGCCCTAGTGTTTTTTAGTTTTTTATATATTCTAGAGAGCAGACCTTTGTCGGAGTACTTATTTGTCATGATTTTTTCCCAATTTGTGTGTTGGCTTTTCACTTTGTTGGTAATTCTTTTGACGTGAAAAACTCAGTAAGAGCAGGTCCCAGTTGTTAATTCTTTCAACTGTTTCCTGTGCAATTTGATTTCTGTTCATGAAGTCTTGGCCTACCCCTATGTCTTCAAGAGTTCCTCCTACTTTCTCTTCCAGGAGATTCAGTGTCTCTGCTTTAATGTTTAGATCTTTAATCCATTTTGACTTTAGTTTAGTGCATGGTGATAGACCTGTGTGAAGTTTGAGTTTTCGGCATGTAGAGAGCCAGTTTTTCAAGCAGCATTTGTTAAAGTGGCTATCTTTCTTCCAGTGAGTATGTTTGGCCCCTTTGTCAAAGATAAGGTGGCTGAGTGTGTTTGTAGAGGCTTCAGCATCTTCTAATCTATTCCATTGATCCTCAGGTCTATTTTGTTGCCAGTATCATGCTAATTTTATCACCATAGCCTTGTGGTATATTTTCAAGCCAGGAATTGTAATGCCTCCTGCCTTGTCTTTATTGCTCAGAATTGCCTTTGCTATTCTAGGTCTTTTCTGATTCCAAATAAATTTTAGGAATGATTTCTCTAGGTCTATGAGGTATGCTGGTGGGAGTCTGAAAGGGATTGCGTTAAATCTGTACAAAAATTTTTAGGAGTATGGCCATCTTCACAGTGTTGCTTCTTCCTATCCCAGAGCATGGAATAACTTTCCATTTTCTGAAATGCTCTATGATTTCTTTTTTTAGAGTACTGTAATTTTCCTTGAAAAGATCTTTGACTTCTTTAGTTAGATTAATTCCAAAGTATTTCATTTTTCTTGGTGCTACTGTAAAAGGTTTTGTTTCTTTAATTTCCCTCTTGGTATGCTTGTTGTCTGTGTAGAGGAATGTTATTGACTTTTGGGTATTTACTTTATAACCTGCTATGCTACTGAATTTCTGTATTAATTCTAGTAGTTTCTTGGTGGAGTTTTTTGGGTCTTCCACGTAAAGTATCATGTCATCTGAAAATAAAGATAATTTAACTTCTTCTTTGCCTATTTTTATTCCTTTTATTTCTTTATCTTGTCTAATGGCTGTAGCTAATGATTTCAGAACTATATTGAATAGCAGTGGTGAGAGTGGACATCCTTGTCTTGTACCCAATCTAAGAGTAAAAGATTTCAGTATTTCCCCATTTAGGATTATGTTAGCTGTTTTTTTTTTTTTTTCATAAATAGCTTTTACCAGATTGAAGTAGAGGCCATCTATTCCAATATTCTCTAGGACGTTGAACATGAATAAGTGTTGGACTTTGTCAAAAGCCTTTTGTGCATCAAGGGAGATGATCATGTGGTTTTTAGTTTTCGTTCTATTGATATAGTGTATTACATTGATAGATTTTTGAATATTGAACCATCATTGGATCCCTGGGATGAAACCTACCTGGTCATGGTATACGATCTTCTTGATGATTTGCTGTATTCTATTTGCTAGTATTTTATTGAGAATTTTGGCATCTATGTTTATGAGGGAGATCGGCCTGTAATTCTTTCTTAGTCGCATCTTTCCCTGGTTTTTGTATCAGTATAATACTTGCCTCCAGGAATGATTTTGGGAGGAATACTTTCCTTTTCAATTTCATGGAAGTGTTTGAGGAGTATAGGGACTACATCTTCTGCAAATTTCTTGTAGAGTTGAGCTGTGAATCCATCCTGACCTGGACTTTTCTTTGTTGGTAGGTTTTTAATAACATCTCATATTTCATTGGCTGTTATTGGGCTATTGAGAATTGTTGTATTTTATCGATTTATTTGTGGCAATTTGTACCTCTCTAGGAATCTCCCCATTTCTTCTGTGTCTTGTATTCTGTGAGAGTAAAGATTCTCAAAGTAGCTATTGATAATCTTCTGAATTTCCACTAGGTCTGTGGTAATTACACCCTTTTCATTCCTTATTGCTCGTATTTGAATTTTTTCTTTCCTGTTTTTGAAGAGGTTAGCTAAGGGCTTATCGATTTTATTTAATCTTTGAAAGAACCAGCTTTTTGCTTTTTTAATTGTTTGAACTGTTTTCTTCATCTCAATTGAATTAATTTCTGCACTAGTCTTTGTGATTTCTTTCCATCTTTGGGCTCTGGATTTGGTTTGCTCTTCCTTTTCTAGTTGTTAAAGGTGCAACATTATTGTATTTATTTGTTCTCATTCTGTTTTCCTAATGTGTAAGTGCACAGCTATGAATTTCCATCTGAGAACTGCTTTCATTGTATCCCATAAATTACGATAAATTGTGCTTGAATTTTCATTGAACTGTAGAGATTTTTGAATTTCTTGTTTAATTTCATCTGTGACCCATTGGTTGCTGAGTAGGGTGTCATTTAATTTCCATGTATTTAAAGTTTTTTCTGGTTTCTTTTGTCATTCATTTCTAGTTTCATTGCACTGTGGTCAGACAATGTGCATGGGATAATTTCTGTTTTCTTGCATATACTTAAGCATGACCTATGGACCAGTATGTGGTCTATTTTAG